TCGCCTAGCGAAAAATTCGAGTCTTTCCTAACGGTAAGTGTCTGTCTGCGCCTGGTGTTTCTCTTCAGCACCCCTATCTTCTCAAGCAAGAATACAAGAGATTTTTTCGCTGAATAACGGGCCCACCCGTCCCGTATTACCTCCATCGCCTGCTCCATGTGTTGAAAGTTTCTTGAATAAGGCGGTGGAAGAGCATCTAAAGGTATGGGGATTCACAGCGAACGAACTGGCCCTCCAACCAACTGATTTTCCTACATCGTTGAGCCCACCGAACCCTGCAAGACCGAACGTCGGCGAGCAGCTCTCCAACCAGGCACAGGTATGACACAAATCATTGTCGGTGGTTGTGGCATTGGTGCGGGCACTCCCCTGATCTAGACACATAAGAGGGTACGAACTATCCACCAAGTCGTTGGATCCCTTGCAGGTCCACAGACAAACCCAATCACAAGCGAGGAACAGCGGTGTGCACAGCAGACATTCATATCGAAGGAACCACTTCCCTGCCATTGACAGTAGGCCCTTGTGTGGAAGGGTAAATAGAGAGGCCATTTATCCCTAACTGCTTTTGGTAACCGAACCTCTGGTAACCACACGTGGGCGGGAATGTACCGGCGATATACTGTCTGGCGTAGAAAGGAAGCGCTTCATGCAGTAATTGTATTGTTTCGTGTTTGATTGTTTTGCTCAGGCCGATGCCATCTCGTATGAGACGCGGTTGAAACAGGGAAATGACCCTCGACAGTCCCAGGAAATTGGTCCGACGTTGAACAGGGAACCAGAGGGAGAGGAGGCACTGAACGAGGGAGCTGGTGTGCAAGACTCCGGACTGGTAGGAATGTTTGGATGTTTCCTCAAGTGATTTCGGCGGAAAACCCGTAAAATCGAACCTAGAACCTTCCCAATAAACATCAAGCTCTGTTATTTGGGGGTTGGGGTTAGGGTTTACGGTCGATCGCCGATGGTGGAGGCGAAACGATCAAGATTGATGCTCACCGTGGGCCCATCCGCATGTCTACCTCCGCAAATGAGTGACTGCAGGCACATTTTACATTTCTGCACGCTCATGCAGGTATACGCCAGCTGGCGGGGAAGATATCCTAGCGGCACGCTTCTTCTTCCACTGTGTTCTTGAAGTTCTGCCTTGTTGCTCCTACATCAAAACCTGCACCCCCGGCGAACATGACGTAGACCAAACGGACGGTTAGGTACGAAGGGTTCATAAATCCGCTCAGTCTCTGACCAAATGCGCTTTCATCGAATGCCGCATATCGAAACGAAGAACGGCTCGAAAACTACCTCGACCCATCTACCTACATTGCAGATTCAGTACATCTATCGTGGGGCTGAGGTATACTTCGTCATGTTGTGCTGGAGAAAGAGGATCGCGAAGATGGGCCTAAACCTTGCCCACACCACTTAGTATTTCCGTCCGCGCCCCGCTTTCGTTCCTCCCGTCATTCCTTTGGGCAGGAGCTAGAGGAGGAGGTGAAGGAGGAGGAGGAGGAAGAAGACGAGGAAGAGGCCGGATCAAGGGCGATCGGGCACAGCAACTTCAAGCGAAAAAGACAGAAACACCCCCAACCTGGAGGAGGCGCCGGTCCGGCGGTACCTACGGCTAGGCACGCAGGCCACCCGGACAACCAGGGCGGCTCCGCGGGCGGTGTTCACCCCGAGGCGACGAGACACCGGGGCGGTGGAGACGCTGCTGGCGCACTCTCGCTCCCAGACGCGACCGCCGCCCCTTCGGGGCTCGACGACAACATGGGTCGTCCCGTGCGCGAGGTGGACGGCAGAGACATCCAGGCGACCGCCGGCGCCTCTTCCCGAGCCGGCAACTCGGACCCGCTGAGGAACGCCCGCCTACTACCCCCTTCGCCGGCACCATCACCGCCTCCCCCGGCACCGGCAGCCCTTCCCCCGGCACCGGCCGGCGAGCCCAACATTTTGCAGCCCCCGGACCCAGCTCCGCAGCGGCAGGCGCCCTTCCCTCCTCCTGCCGCGCCGGAGGCCCGCTACTCTCTTTCCTGGGACGATCTACTAGGCGCGGTGGACGACGACGACGAACCCCATGCCCAGGCCGTGCCTTGGGCGGGTGTTATCGGTGCCCCACTCATGCCTGCGGGCCCTGCACCGTCACGGTTCGACTTGTCGGAGGTTGGACCCCTGAATTTTGCAGAATCACCGGTTGAAGGCTATGGAGGTCACCAAGAAGGCGGGAATGGAGGTGAAGAAGGAGTACCGGCTGAAGCCGCCGAGGGCGACAGTCATGAGCAACAAGGCGGGAATGACGGAGAGGCGGCGGCACCGGATGCCGCGCCCGTACCCCCTGTAGAGCCTGCACGCCGTATCGGTTCTAGGATGAGGCGGCCAAGCCGAAGGCTGGTAGAATCTCTCGCCCAAGCTTGAGCAAGACGATTCCCGTCGCTTCCTGATGTGTTGCGCTCTTTGCTGGTCTGTAGTACGTCGATGGACCAAATGTTCCATGTTTACATGAAGTTTTCTTCAAGCGTCGTTCAGGTTTGCCCTTGTTTGAAAGGTATCAGGAAGCACGAAGAGTGATTGATTGTGGTCGTTATGATGGCCATCCGTCCGTCCGTAAGATCTTCTATGCATTAAACGTTGGTGGCGTTGTGAGTCATGCACGAACGTTTGTGGAAAATCTGACCAAAAAATTCATTTTCAGAGGCGTAAGGACTCGTCGACGGTAAACATCGATAGACCCATTCAATGATGAAATGAGGCGATTGTCTATGGAGTTATTTTCAGGGAGACTTCGTGGGCGCCCAAACAAACGCCGGGTGTCTGCTTTGCCGCAGTCAGACGTAGAAACAGGAAAGTAAGGGAAACATGACATTAAGCCTTTTTTTCCTCACTGCTGTACAGCTTTTTTTTTTCGCTGGTGGTCTGATGGTGATCTCCGATGCACGAGAGAACTTCTGCTGTATGGGTATGACACGATCCAAACATGCATAATTTTCGGCATTTGATGGGAAGAAGCAACATTGGACCAAACAATTACATACTGGCATGCCCTACACGAGAACCTAACACAGCGTAGACATATTTATACGATTTGTGTACGTCCATACAGACAGACAGGAGACAACAACGCAGGCGAGGGCTGCTTTGTTTAGGAACCCTAATATCTCCAAGACACGCGGAGATGAAACGAAGCCCTTTGAAAACATTCAGCGCATGCACGAAAGGGAAGGGCGAATGGCCTAAAGGCTTACAGGCGTTGTGGTGTGTTTATGAAAAGAGGGAATCGTCCTCGACAGACGTTGGGGACGTTGTGCCCTTCGCGTAGAAGGTGATCTCCACAGTAAGTCTTGAGTGCTGGTAATAAGTGTAGACTTCTTAGGTTAACCGAAACTCGACCGGCTGGACGTAAGTCGCCGTTTTCACCTTCACAATCGCTTTTTCTCTTTATTTTGTACGCGGGTCAACCACGTCCGACACGTAGAACCTTCACCGAACTTGCAAGTTCGGACTCTGACTTATGGTCCACGAGCGACGCATCGCCATCGTCGTCATAGGGTCTTCCTTTTAGTGTAACGTTCTTCTTTGCAAAAAGAAAAACGAGGTGTGTAATGGAATCGAACCCGCGGTTTATCTCCCACCGTAACCATGTTCGTCGACACCACCAATGTAAACAGAGGGAGTGGTCCTCGACAGAGGTTGCGGAGATTTTACACGCTTTTTAGGTCATATCCACAGGGAATCTAGTCTAGGCAACGTTTGATTGTTTGTTTGTTGGGGGGGGGTGATGCGCACGGAAACAATCCCTTGCGCTCCGGTAGGACCTGCACACGCAGGGGTCCTTTCCTGTGTAGCCGAAGTCAACCCAGGCCAGCCTGGCACATGATGCAAGACATTTGACGGATGGTTGCCGTGATCTCGATTCCGTCGGCTAAACAAAAGCTGTTGGTTCCCAGTGTTTCGTCAGCAAGTCGTCTT